GGAGCCAGGGTGGCAAATTCAGTCTTGATTTTCATGGGCTTGCACTGATCCCATTAGCTTCAAGCCCCCACAGCCCTCATTCCTTAAACATGCAGTAAACACTCCACATACTTTTTTTAAAGATTTTATTTATTTATTTGACACAGAGAGAGACAGCGAGAGAGGGAACACAAGCAGGGGGAGTGGGAGAGGGAGAAGCAGGCTTCCTGCCGAGCAGGGAGCCCAATGCGGGGCTCGATCCCAGGACCCCGGGACCATGACCTGAGCTGAAGGCAGACGCTTAATGACTGAGCCACCCAGGTGCCCCTCCACATGTGTTTTTGAGAGCCTACTACGGAATAGGCAGTGTGCTAGGTATTGGTGAGCAAACCTTACAGTCTTTGCTCTCATAGAACGTACAGACAAGGAGGGAGACAGTTAATAGAATCACACCAATAAATGTAAATGGACCACTAGGATCAGTGCTGTGAAGTAACCCAGGGTGATGAGAGCTTAAAAGAAGGAGATCTGTCCTATTCTGGAGGAAGGCATCACGGAAGGCTTCCCAGAAGAAGTGCTGCAAGGACTGAGATCTTCTGGAGGACTTTAGACTATCTGAGGGAAGAGCTTGGGAAAGAACATTCCTGGAAAAGGGAACAGCAAGTTCAAAAGCCCCAAGGCAGGAAGGACATGATATATTTTTGCTAGTAGATTTTATTGTCAGGAAATCTGCATCTCATGCACAGATTTGGGGAAATCCCACAGATGAAATCCCACAAAATAAGATATGTATCGTGTACAGCCATCTTTACCATAATCAATTAATGGACTTCAAAATTGGTTTAGATGCGAGACTATCAGGAACTATGATTTTTTTTTAAGATTTTATTTTATTTATTTTTATTTGAGAGAGAGAGAGAGAAACAGCATGAGAGGGGATAGGGTCAGAGGGAGAAGCAGGCTCCCCGCTGAGCTGGGAGCCCGATGTGGGACTCGATCCCAGGACTCTGGGATCATGACCTGAGCCGAAGGCAGTCACTTAACCAACTGAGCCACCCAGGTGCCCCAGGAACTATGATTTACTTACTCAACAAACATTGCCCAAAGGAATCCTGGCTGGGGTTGAGGGAGGGAATAGTTGAGCTCAGAGAGATGGGCAGGAGTTGGATCAAGCAAAGCTTTGGAGGAGTTGGGATAATTTTCCAAGAGCACTCAGTATGGAGCCACTAGAAGGTTATTAAGATGGGAAGCGACAACGATAGGATTTGTGCTTGAAAAGTTGGAGGGAACGTTCTGTGGAGAAAGTGTGTAGGGGAGCAGTGGGGAGCAGAGTGGAAGCAGGAACAGGTCAGAGCCCTGGCAGTGGTCCGGCAAGAAATGTCAGCAGTGAGGATTAGGATGGTGGCCATGGGGAGGAGAGACACAGCACACTGGGTTCCATTCAGCTGGTGGGTACTCACCTAGCCCTTCCTGCACCTGGCCTGGGACCCAACCTAAGGCCTTACTTTCTGCCCCTCTCCCAAAAGGGCAGTGAGGGTTGCTTAGGCCCCCAGGTTTATGTGCCTTCTGCTTCCTCAGTGGCCCCTGCTTCCCGCAGCCCTGGCTCTTCAGCTTGGCTCCCAAGGAGGTCTTTTTTCTCCAGTGAGTGGGTCTGAAGAATGAAGGAGCCGTCACTAATCTGATCCTGCTCCTGCTTACTGAGGAGGGCGCCTGGCGGGGGTGTTGCTCTGGTGTCCTGTCCTGCCTGTGTTCACTGCAGGCCCCAATCCGGAGGAGAGCTGGAGGATTACTGCTCCTGGGGCTCCCTGCCCCCTCCTAGCCCCAAAACAAATGAAGGGAAAGCTGGAACTTTCTTCTTTCACATGGGGACATATTTCTGTATTTGTGTTAGGCAAAGGATTATTCTAACCTGCCTTTTCTGGTGATAACAGGAATACAATCCTATTGGAGGAAATTGGAAAGTATGAGAACATAAAAGGAAGACTAACCAGTATTCATAATACTACCCTGCATTTTTGCATGTTTTTCCAGTCATATATCCTTATTGTTAAATAGGTCATACACACTGAACATACTTTTGTGTATTGTGCTCTTTTCACTTTGTGTTTTAAACGTTTCCCTGTCATTAAAATCTCTCCGCACACAATTTTAAATATCTGCAAAGAAGTCTTTTTTGAAAACATATTTTAAATAACCTTTTCCTATTTGTTGGACATTTGGGTTGTGCATAACTTTTACCATTATAAGGAGTTCTGTGATGAACATCTGTTTATAAATATTGGTCTGCATTCTGGATGCCCTCTCCCTGGGTAGATTTCTAGAAGGGAGATTAATGAGGGGAGTTGTATGGAGAGGACAGGAAAGAAAATCTCTATGTGGGATAATTCTCACCACAAGGTAGCTTTGTTCCTGTCAGCAGAAAGCTAAAAGATGGGCTGGTCTTTTCCACTGCGTAAGGACCCTGTGCTCCCCATCCCAGATCACCATTCACCTAGCAGAGGCTACTAGGGGTCTGTGTCAGGAATTACCTCTTTTCTGCAGAGACCCCGCTGCATTACGGGCTTAAGAGGCAGCTGGGGCTGGGATTTCAGGGGTTTCTCTCTGTCTTGTGATGGAACAGAGAGCCCTGCAGGCCTGGGAGTCTGGTTCTTCTGTGCCCAGCTCAGCAATCCTGAGCGCTGTTTCCCCGCAGGGGCCAGTTTTGTCTTGTGAAATAAGCTAGAAGAGGCAGGAGTTGGGGGTTTGACCACTTAGGAGCAGAAACCTTATTTTAAGTTAAATCTTACCAGAACCCCAATCTGTACAACAGATGAAGGGGCAGTTGTCCTGCAAGAAGTGTGTGTGGGAGGAGTGGGAGCAGGGACGGGTGCTCTAGTTTGAAAACTCTGGCCTGGAGGATGGAAGTTTCACTCGGGTTCAGTTCCCTTTCCTTCCCGGACGCTGAAGTTGAAAAAAAAAAAATCTTTCATCTATATTTAAATCCTGCAAATGTGCTGATCGATGAAATCTTTTTTTCTTAAAGACAATTTGGAAATCAGACAAGTGGAGCACAAAGACATGGATGCTCGGAGAGGGAGTGAGCAGTATATGAAACCCGCTGAAAGGGTGACCCTGGCACTTCTAAGAAGGCAGCAACACAATGGGCTCTCGGAGAGAAGCCGCGTCAGTTTATTCCCGCGTTGGCACCGCCCCCTCAGTGGGGCGGAATTGCTTGTTTTCACCCGCCCTTTCCTGGAGTCACTGCAGACCAAACTTGGTCCACAATTGCTAGCAATTTGAACCCAGAGTAACCTACGGCCAGGTATTTTACTGAGGCCCAAACACTGTGAAAGATATGAATAGTGGGGTGGAGATGACAAGAGAGTTTCCTCCCGCCCTGGGGACGTTGGAGCACCGGGGCGACGGTGTGTGTGTGGCCGGGGTGGGGTGGGGTTGGGGGGAGTAGTGAGGCTCACCGACCTGGCCGCCTGTGGGTTGGCTCCCATCCCAGCGGCAAGTGTTGCAGCACCCACCAGCCAGGAGGGGCTCGGGGTCTGTGACCCCGGGATGGGGAGTGGAGGGGGTGGTACGGAGACCTCGGCCGAACCCTGTCCCGGACGCAGCAGGCCCGGGAGGAGCACCGGGTGGAGGGCAAAGCGCAGAGGTCTGTACATCACCGCCGGTTGCCCTCCCACCCCCAGCTGCAAAGTACCGGGCGGGGCGCGGTGGGGTGGGGTGGGGGGAGACAGTGCCAGCGTCAGCGGGGGAGGGGTGGCGCTGCCTTCTCCGGGAGACCCGACCTTTCTTGGGGAGGCGTGGTGAGCTTAGTCTCCAGGATCCGCAGTGATGTGTAAAAAGCGGGCACGACCCCCGAAGCGGCAGAAAGCCTCCGCCCCTCCCCCTGAGGCCCGCCCAGGCCCGCAGGTGAATGGCTGGCCCGCACAAAGGAAGCCGGTTGGAAATGTGGAATTCGGACCAATTTATGGGAGATTCTGTCGCCCAGAGCCCCAGCAGACCTCAAGCAAAGAAACCTGTGATCAAGAGTGGATGAGGATAAGACCAGTGCACCAGGCCAAGCTTATTGGAAAGACCGAGTTTAGTTATTCTGGGATAGCGAGGTAACAGGATTAAAGGGATTAAGGAAATCACCTCAAACAGCTGAGGAGGGGGTAAAAAAACACTGGTTCTATTTGTTTTCTTCCTAGGCCCCAAACAGATACACTGGGGCCGTGTGGCCGGGCGCGAAACGAAAGGCCTTTCGGGGGGCACGGTGGAATGCCTAAGGGTCAGGGATTGGGGGGAAGTGGCGGGGGGAGGGAGGAGTAGAAAGCGGGCTCAAGGTTTGGGATGAGAGAGAGCCTGTTCTAGAAAACCAATAGGTGGTCTGGGTTGACAAGTCGAAAGAAAAAGCCGCCGGAGGAGTTTTAGAGATCTTTTAAAGTCTGAGGTGGACTTTTTAAAACCCAACCTTCTAGTGTTGAATGCTAGCTCCGCCGCTTCAGCCACCACGGTTGAAATGCACTTATTTCCTGCTAGGGATTCCTGTAACCATTTATTTTTTAATAGGATAATTGAGATTTCCGAAGGGTTTTCGTTTTGTAAATATTGCAGCTCGGCTCAAATGTCTTCCCGCCCCAGTGCACAGAGGTAAAGGTGCTCCCTCTTTGGGCCCGTTTCCGCGGCCGCGGGCGGCCCCTCCCCGCCCCGCGTGGCTGCTACGGCAGACACTCCTTCGGCGGACGCTCACCGCTATCAACAAGTGCGTGGCCGCGGGGTGTTGGGCTCAGCGAGCGGGGGGCCGGCTCCCAGCACACGCTTCTGGAAGACCAACCGCTTGCTCCTTGGAGTTTCCGTAGAAAGGATTGGGAGCTGGAGTGTTTTGGATGACCGGGAGTCAGAAACCCTCTCAGATCACGCTCGCTCCCCCCCCTTCCCCCCGCAGGACGGGACCAAGGCTCTTAATACCGAGTGATAGTCCCCTCCCCAGCCCGCGCATATGTTTCAGGCCCGCAAAATTATCAGGACTCCACTATGTTGGTTATAAAATTTATTGATCTCTCATTTAGGAATTAAGAGTAAAACCTTGAAAAACCTGAAACAAAATAGCCCCTTCCCCACCACCCAAACGAAATCCGAATACATTAGCGCGACGAAATATCAAACAGATCACGGCAGAAATCACCAACTCAACAGCCTAAATGCGGACTGGACAGAAGCTGTCCCGCGGCCAGGGGCGGCGAGGCGGGAGACGCACGCACACCTGGCTATAAATTAACATTGGCCTGAGCTGCCGCGCCACTCCGCGCGGTCAGCCCCCCAAAAACCCACCAGGAAAACCGATGCAACGCGCCGGGGCGGGGGGAGGAGGCGTTGCAGTTCTCAGGCCAGCCTCACCCGAGAGTACGTTTCTCCTATTCACTCACTCCTTGGCTAACAGTAAACTAACGAGACAACGTTTTCAAATGCAACAGAAAAACCCAGGAACGCAGGAGGAGGAGGGGGGCTGTTTTTTCTCTGCAAACATCACAGCGATTCCCAGCCTACAAAAGGGGAGGGAGGGGCAGCGGCGAGGGGTAGGCGAGCTCTACAAAGTCCCATTTCCGCTGCTCAGGACTTCTTTTTGCTTTCGTACAAAACCCGACAGCTACAGCAAAACTTTCTGTCCTCCCCATCATCGGTACAAGGCAACAGTCCCAGGCAAGCAAAGCTAAACGACAAGGCGTCCCAACTTGGGGGTGCGGGGCGGGATGGGGGCGGAGGGGCGGCGCGCGCCGGCGGGCGCTCAGATGTGGGTCAGCGGCACCGTTCCGTTGACCGCAGTCCCAGCGCCCTGGTAGTGCTGGTGTACGCTGTGCAGGCGGCCGCCGGGCAGCGGTGAAGCGGCGTCAGCCGCGTCCCCGCCGGGTGGCAGGTACATGCTGATCATGTCGCGCAGGTCGCCGAGGCACGCACGCTGCGAGTGCGATGTGATGGCGGGCGGCGGCGAGCTGGGTTCGGTCTTCACCACCGTGCCCATGGGGCCCAGGCTCATGGCGGCGGCCGCGGCGGCCGCGGCGGCGGCGGTGGCGGGCTGCTGCCCGTAGG